ACTAACTAAATAGATTATAGTGCAAGCTTTCAAAGCATGTGGGCCTCTTCTCTAAGCAATATATTGCTTGAAGAAGAGGCCAGCATGCTTTGAAAGCTTGCAATACAATCCATTAAGTGATATGGGGTTTATTATACGACACTCCTCAGTTTACAGTATACTCCGTGTATCAAATTCTATCTTCTTCCTTCATACTTCAGTCAGGTATCCCCAAACAAATGTCAGTCCCGTCACTTATTCGTCAAACAACAGGCAGGTCTCCTTTCTACTGTTCCTTCTCATTCAAGCCAGTATCTTCATTGCTGATTAGCAGTCAGCGTCAGTTGTCAGCATCAATTGTCAGAAGTCAAAGTCACTTGATAGAGTCAGCGTCACTTTTTAGGAGTCAGAGTCAGTAGTCAGCATTCTGGATCATTTGTAAATAGTCACAGCTACTTATCAGCAGTCAGTGTATATCATCAGTGTCAGTTTTTACTTGTCAGGAGTCAGTGTCAGGAATCAGAGACACATGTCAGTGTCAGTCGTCACTTGCCAGGAGTCATAGTCACTTGTCACAGTCAGCGTTAGGAGTGAGAGTCAATAATAAAATATAGAGAATGAACTGCGCCAATAAGCAAGCTAACAGCTACAAGGCACTGGAATGTACACCCACTGTGAGTGTGTATACGTGAAAAATGAATAACTAAATGTGCCGAGCTAAAACAATGATCAGATATAAAGAGTAAAAAAAATTAAAAAACAGTGACTCAAACAAATGTCAGTGAAAAAAAAATCAATCAGGTGTAAAGTCTTTAAATCTTCATAAATCCGCAAAAGATGTCCAAATATAGCAATAGTGATGAATATTACTTGTTCCTTCACCAAATGCACCACGTGCACCACACCAGATATAGGGGTGCTCACCTTATTGATAGACCCCAGCAAGAGGTCAAACCAGGCAATTCCCTTCTTAACCAGGGGAGGGGGCCCTCAGCTCCAATCGCTCACAGATGTCCTCCAATGGTTTCATCAGACCAGCAAACAGATCTGTGCAACACTTCTTAAATAGGAAAGCAATAGCCTCCAATCTTTATCGATCTATAGGCCTCCTCAGTATAAGGTGTCAATGCCAGGATCGTGTTGACCGAAAAAAGAAAGAAAAAAGAAAGAAAGCAAACACCATAGCGCGTACCATCCAAACAGAGTATGATTTATTAAAAGAAAATTACTCACATAAAAGCAGTGGTAACATAGCATGGACTCTCTCTTAAAAGTATGTGCAAGAGTTTCAAATGACTGCGGCCGTCAGTCGTAGAGATCAATGTAACGTCAAATGCTCCGCCCTATGCGCATTACGTCCAGCGTGACTTCATCAGGGAGTGAGAGTCAGTTGTCAGTAGTCAGCATTACTTTTGCGAGTCTCTTGTCAGCACCAGTTGTCAACTGCCAGTGTTGGTTGTCACTTGTCAAGAGTCATAGTCACTTGTTGGTGTCAGTTGTCAGGAGTCAGTTGTCAGTTTTACTTTTGTGAGTCACTTGTCAGGAGTAAGGGTAATTTGTTGGCAGTCAGAGTCACTTGTCAGCATTAAAATATAGTTATTTTACTCCACCTCCTCTCTTCTGTGTCATGTTTACATGTCCAATCAGACTGTCCCATTACAGTTTATAATATTTTTACACATTTATCCTTCACAATAAAATTACCTACAAATCTACATTTAATACAATTTAAATAATAAAATTTGCCATTTTTATAATATGCAACTTTTGTCAATTAATTGTCATGGTACTTTTATTAAAATTGCAGAAACGTCTCTAATTAATGCTTCCCTTTGTTCATTATATTCATTATATTCAAGTCTACATTAATATTGACAATGGGACTTTGTAGGCTTCAACTAATCATGTCAATAGTACTGCTTACCCAGATTTAATTAAGGCTAAATCTGTAAAGGAAAGGAAACAGCCAGGGGACAGAGTTTTCAATAGAATTTCTGGAGCATAGTGTTACCCAAATTACTATTTTAAGTTATGATCTGCTAAATAAGCATTCACAATTACAAGCATATGTTTCTGAGGATTCAATCATGGGATCAATGAGCTCAACACAATAACTAATAATTCATTAGTATATAGTATCAAGACTTAAATACAGCAAACCAACAATCTATTTAACTACAAAATACAAAGAAAAGATTTAACATGCAAAATAGACAGACATTGATATATAAGAGACAAACGATAGACATACATTTAAGTGAGTGCTGATGGAGAACCTGTAGATATATTTACCCATTAATCGTCACATGAGGGCCCCATTCTGGTGGTCTAAAAGACAAACTTTTCTCTTCCTGTCCCTTGATTGATATACCTTTCGTGTTCATAAAGACGCATTGAGAGCCATTGATTGGTGGTCCCCCAATGCTTTAGAATTAGAATTCTTCTCTGGGGATTGGATATTTCCATGCGAATCATTTAAGATGAGTGGGAAATTCCAGATGGGCAGGTGTCCCAAGGCTAACTCCAGGCCATGATTTTATCTAAACAAGGGGGACATTCTGGTTGTTTTACTACCTACAAGGAAACCTTTGATGATATTGGCCAGAGACAAAAGAAAGTATGTACCTATTGTGAGAATCAAGGGTCTCGGCTCCGAAGTGTTCATGGATCTCATTGTCTCTTGTCTTGACCATTTACCATTAACAGGCTAGATTCAGGACAGATTCATAATTACATTTACAATCCATTGATATGCAACTCCCCTGGACAGTGATAACCCACAACAAAGAACATATTTAATTACAAGCTCCCATCACCTGATGTGGAATATTTAAAAACAAAAATAAAACTATATACTTATGTCATATTACAATAGTCAGGCTGCCATTTCTCCTTTCTGTGTTTGGTACAATGTACTTTTCAGTGTAAGCTCTGGAAATTCTTGTTTCAGTATGGATTTTATGGATTTTACCTATCAAAGGATTTGTTTCTTCTATAATCCAGTCCTGATATTTACACAGTTTTGCTACACAGCACAGTCATTTATGGCAAGGTAAGAGACTTCATATATCACTGCTGCAGTTAAGTAACATTTACAGGTCTTGTTTCTCCCCCATTCTGGGACTGGACAGTAGAAGGAACTAGGAAGTGGAGGAAAATGTGTGCAAAGAAGGGGTTATGCAGCAGAGTGTTGAAAAAGGTGTGCAGGGAAAATGGTAGAGCGGGGTGGGCATGCGGCAGAGTTGTAAGGGAAGGGCCTGGTTGGGTTGAGTAGCAAAGTGGTGAGAGTGCAGAATGGTGAGCATGCGAGGCAGAGTGTTACAAGTGGGGAGGGGAGGCTGCAGAGTGTTAAGGGGGACAGGGAAGAATGATGCGAGAAGGGGTGGGTATGTGGCAGAGTGGGGGTGGGGGGGTTGATCTTGAAAAGAGGGGGGGTTCAGCAGAATGGTAAGGGGGCCAACAGAGTGGTGAGTGGCAAAGTGGTGCAAGCTTATCTATCTTGCGCTCCAATTATGTACATTGTATTGTGCATCCCTTCCCAGATATTGAATTGTACTGCACAGACATGGGGAAATGGAATAGAGAATGGTAAAAACACAGGACACAGATCAGGAATTACATTGCACATGTGTTGGACAAACTCTACTGGGAATGGAAGCGTCATTTTGTGCAAACGGCCATATTGATAGACAGTATCTTGATGAAGTCTAGGGGGGGAAATTATTATTTTTAAATGTATTACCAGTTAACCTAGTGAATATTCTATATGTTTATTATGAACATGCATTATGATTTTCAATCTGGGGCTGAGGGGGAAAGAAAAATGCCATTTTACTTCCTATATTCTTCTTTTAATACAACTACAGAAGTATAACCAATGAAGGAAAGCTAACTTATAGATAAACTTCTATATAATCATTTTTGTGATTATTATATGTGTGCATATAATATGCTGGGGATATTAGCTCAATGGTGAGTGCTTAGTGACCACTCTCAAGCTGTTTTTCATTAAAAAAAAGGACAGTCTTTTATAGTTAACAAGGGCTGACAGCTAGGTTACTTAATACCAAAAAGTTTTTTTTAGCATAACCAAACGTAAAGTCCACTTGTCTTTTCTGCAAAAATAACGTATTACAATGTCTCAACACCTCAAGGTGGTCACGTGTACTCAACGTATCCCAGTACCAGATCTTTCTCCAGAACATACTGCTCCATGTTATACCCTCTGCAATCCTCTCTTGCACATACTGCCTGCCGTTATACCCTTGGCCCTGCACATAATGGCCACAGTCGTACCCTCCACACCTTCCTTCCACACATACTGCTTGCCCTCTCCTCTCCAGTGCATACTGTTTTCTCCCATGCACAAAATGCCTACTGTCATATCCAAAGCACTACTCTCTTACACATATTTCATACACTCCGCAGTTCTATCCTGCACATACTACCCCTGAGATACCCTCAGCTCTTTTCTCCTGCACATACTGCCCCATAGCGTACACTTTGCTCTCCTGCATATACTGGCCTAATTCATATCCTTTGGAATCCTCTCCTGCACATATTACCCACTAATATACAAATTTAGTATTATCTGTAATTTCCCTACCATTGGGAACAACTTTGCAAACTTTATGTAGGGATGATGTTGATGTGTAAAGTACCTGATAATATTATATGATTCCCTTCTAACGGCTAATAGCGGCTGATTGATGTAACAAACATACAGCAGATTTTGTTTAAAGCAAAATCTAGTAACTTCCTTGTCTATGCTAGCACACTGTGGTTTCATTAGTCACAGCAATAAATAAAATCCCTGTGCTTACAAAAGCAACCGCAGTGATAAAGTACAAAGAATTTTCAATCACAATCAAAATAAAACACAGAAACAAAAAGAGGCAATAATTGAACCTGATAAAAATGCAGTGTTTATGTTAATTGCACTGATGCCGGAATAAAACCATATATAAAGGGTGGTGGGTCCTCTCAGTAACAGCTGAGGTCTTCCACATAGAGCGGACACAATGGGAAAGGTAAGGGAAAATATTATAAGGGTTCTTATACAAGGATTATCATCAGTTCTTCTATTTTTTCCTACAAGATAATATAATAAAAGCATAATAAGACAAAATGTTGTCTTCTGCTTGAAACATTTTATACAACAGACATGATAATGGTCGGGATCATAACATATACATGACATATAATTTAAAGGCTTACTATTCTTTTGCTATTCTTTTGAAAGTAATTTGTAATTGATATGTATGAATTTAATATTCTGCTATTTTTTTATTTTTAGCAAAAATGAAACCCTTAAATTAGAATGGAATAAACAAAACACATATTACAGCATATCCTGATGCATAACCATGATGTAAATCATGATGCTTATTTGCAGTCCATTTCGAAAAAGCTGAAGTGGCTTTGGAAGCGATGCTAAATGTTTTCTTTGCAAACTCCTGAAAGTTTTCTACTTTGCTGACTAATCTGGGGAAAATGCCAGACACTGATAGCCTAAGGGGTTTGTAGCAGGCTGATTGTATCCACAGTGAATAGCTGTATAATGACTATGAATGTAATTAGTTAGCAGCCCTGACAGAAATAGAGAATCATTGATTCATGATTTTTTTACACAGCGGATACTGCATTTTGCTAAAGTGCACCTCAGAATGAACAGCCTCCATGCAACAGCCCAGTGCTGCCCTCTATATGACTTCCTTACATAAACTGTAATGCCTTCTACAGCCACTAGACACACACACTATGGTGTTATATTGATAGCTAGAAGCAAGTAAGTAAATCTCCCTTTTATACAACAGTAGATCCATCATCTCACTAGATCTTACCCTACTGACCTTCTTGGCCATCTTGAATACTTCTAATGTCAATGCATCAGTCTGCTGAACATGAAAAGAACTAATTCTGCAGGGACATTTTGCACCTTTTATTTCTTGTTCCCCTAAAATATATTTCAGTTATACTCAGTCTTTTTGTAGGGATTTTATGTTACGGAGAATACTTGTTTCATATGCAAAATAAAACAAAATGAAGAAAAGGGCAATTTGATAATCAAACCAGTAAGTTTTAAAGGGCTGAACAAAATACAGTGTGGAGAACCACAATAATTTTTTTTTTAACTGAGGTGAAGAAGTGTTTATCACTGAAGCTGGTGTAGTAACTATAAGAATAACAATATAAAATATGCAACACATTCATTATATAATTTATTGAATATCCTACATCATTAAATGAAACCACAATAACTGGGCACAAAGTAACAAACGCCTTTATTTCTTTATAGATCACCTTCTTTGAGGACAAGAACTTCCAGGGTCACTCCTATGAGTGCAGCTCTGATTGTTCTGATCTTCACTCCTTCTTCAGCCGCTGCAACTCCATTCGTGTGGAAAATGGAAATTGGATGCTCTATGAACGTTCTAACTACAGCGGACACCAGTATTTCCTCAGGAAGGGAGAATATCCTGACTTTCAGCAATGGCTTGGTTTTAATGACTCCATCAGATCCTGCCGATTGATCTCATCTGTAAGTTTCAAACTATAAAAAACAATAATGATGGTGGTTAATTTTCTCATCACTAATCATTTATAACAGTAATAACACAAACTTAACAAAGCCAAAGAGCAATTTCCACTTAAAAACATTTTTTATGGATACATATTTTATATTTATGACAATTAGGTCCACTTTTAACAAAAATATTTCCCATAATACACCTGGCAAGATTAGATATTACCATTATTTTACATGATCACGGTTTTATAGAAACAAATACATTCTGCAAACAGCAGTAACATTACAATAGCTGCCTTTTAAACTTACAGTACAAAGGATCCCACAAGATTCGACTTTATGAAAGGGAAGACTTCCGTGGGGAAATGCAGGAGCTGACTGAAGATTGTACAACTCTCTTCGAGAAGTTCAACTTTCATGAAGTCCACTCCTGTAATATCCTGGAAGGATCATGGATCTTCTATGAGCTGCCCAAATTCAGAGGAAGGCAGTACTTTCTGAAAACAGGAGAGTACCGTAGATTTACTGAATGGGGAGCACTAAATGGCAAAGTAGGGTCTCTGAGACGCATCCTGGATAATTATTGATCTATTTGGCCAAAACTTGAAGATAATAAATGAATTGAACTTACAATGGTCTCATTATTGCTTACTAAGAAATGTTTCATGTTATGTACTAAGGGTAACAGACTAAGTGCTAAAGGGGGTTTCCCTCCAGCAATGGATAGAGTGATGAAGGATTATAACCTCTGTCAGGGTATTACTGGTATCCAGGGTCCATTAGAGAAGTCACCCCCATTACCACCACCCTCATTCCCCATGTACTGTCATGATAACAACAGTTTTAGCATACAGCAAAGGTGAGAAAATTTCTACCAACACTTTGATGAAACCTTTGATAACAGGATATTAAGTGAGAGTGAATCTCTCTGATAGAGCCCCAGATCAGTGGCGGATCCAGGGGGTGGGCAACGGGGCAATTGCCCCCCGAGATTAGTGCCGCTCCTGTCCCGACTCTTGCGTCCACGGCCAGCCACCCGCAGTGTGTAGTGACAGCTGTCCCTCCTCCGTGTCACAGACTTTACTGCAGTTCATTGTAAAAAAACTTTGTACAATGAACTGCAGTAGTAAAGTCTGTGACACGGAGGAGGGACAGATGTATGTTCCGGCCAGGGATCGGCAAGGTGTCCGTGACTGCTTCTTGCTGGGTCCGCCGCGGTGGTACAAAAAAATGGTACGTCCCGGGCCGACCCCCCTGTCCATATGCCATTTTGGTACGTTCCTGCCCACGTGACGTGCAGGGAGGTTTTTTGTTCTTGAAACGGCCGCGGAGCAGGCAACAGGAAAGGAGAAGCAAGCACAGTGAGGGCTGAGCGGCAGAGCCTGAGGCTGTTTATCACTGCACTGGTAAGCCAGCAGAGGGCTGGGGGAGGGAACAGCAGCAGCTGACCTGAGTGAGTCTAGGACTGGCTGGGGGGAAAGCTGCAGCTGCAGCTGAGACTTGGTGTCCTGGGGCTGAGTTTTTATGGCCCATGCTGGTGCGTTCTGCAGAGGTCACAGAAAGGCCTTGTTCACACCGAAAGCATGTGCGTTCCAGAGCGGTAGCTGCTGGAACGCACCGCGATCGCTGTCAAACTTCCCCCCGCATTTTGGGGCGGTAGGGGGCGTGGTGGTGCATTTAATTAAATGGCACCGCTTCCCCGCCCCCCCTGCCCTCAGTGCGATCAAACGTGTGGCAAAACTTTGCCAGCATTCCGTTCCACTTGCAGTTAGGCCTTGTTCACACCGAAAGCGTGTGCGTTCCAGAGCGGTAGCTGCTGGAACGCACCGCGATCGCTGAGAAACTTCCCCTTGCGTTTTGGGGCGTGGCATTGTATTCAATGGCACCGCTTCCACGCCCGCCCGCAGTGCAATTGAACGCCTCACAAAACTTTGCCAGCGTTCCGTTCCACTGCAAACACAAAAAAATATGCAACGCAAAGTTTTGCGAGGCGTTCAATCACACGGCTTGCGGGGGGGCGTGGAAGCGGTGCCATTGAATACAAAACGCAAGGGAAAGTTTCTATGCGATCGCGGTGCATTCCAGAAGCTACTGCTCTGGAATGCACACACTTTCGGGGTGAACAAGGCCTAACTGCAAACGCAAAAAATAGGTCAAGCCCTATTTTTTGCGTTTGCAGTGGAACGGAACGCTGGCATAGTTTTGCCACACGTTCGATTGTACTGCGGGGGTGGAAGCGGTGTCATTGAATTAAATGGACCGCCACGCCCCCTCTCACTCCAAGACGCGGGGGGAAGTTTCACAGCGTTCGCGGTGCATTTTAGCAGCTACCGCTCTGGAACGCACACGCTTTCGATGTGAAAGACAGATGCCAGAAAAATAAAAACAATTGGGCAGAGCTAGTGGTGCCCAACTGTTTCCTATTGGCCGACCACCTGCCAGAATCTTCTAGCAGGTCCCGGCCAATAAATAACAACTGGGCGTAGCTGGCCGTAACGCCATGGCCGGCTCCAGCCAGTTGTTATTGTTTAATGACAGAACAGTGTCCCCGGGTCATTTGGGGACGCTGATCTGTCATTACAACTGAGCAGAGCAAGCCGTGAGATCTGTGTCCCCAGCTGTCATTTGCATGGAGATCAGGCGGTTTTGGCTGACCTTTCTCCATGCTTCGTCTGTCACTACAGCTCAGCCGATCCAAAGCATATGCGTTCGACTTGGCTGAGCGGCTCGGCTGCTGTATGGGGTTTTGTGAATAGTCCATACAGCAGCCCTTAGGTCCGACTGAACCATAGGGCTCCAGCAGCCGAAGTGAGCAGAAGGATCAGCCGCAGCTATGGCTGGATCCTTCGGCTCATTAATGAATAAGCCTAATCGTTCTCCACTCTATCCAAAGCTAAACAAATGTTTTGACTAAACTTACACTTTGAATAATACATACAGAATTTATAGCACTGTGACTTTGGAACAATGATGTCTTATAACAAGACCTTATACACAGTAAAGCATTGACAAGTTTTGCAACTTACTGACAAAAGCACAAAATCAAAATATGATGCATAAACAGACACATAGAGACTTACCTACTAAAGGCCTTGAAGATATTCACTCAATAAATTGTGTTAATTTACTTAAATTGTCCAATCATGTAAAAAGCAAATTCCTGTTCACTTCAAATAACCAGTCACACAAATTAAATAAGTAAACAGGAATGTACTTTTCACATGGCAGGATAATTTATGTGAATATTAAATATATTCCTTAAATTTAATATATAAAAGATTCCCAACTCCTTTAGTAAACCATCCTCAACATATAAATGTGCTACACCAGCTGCATATTACGTCTGAGTATTTCAGTTCATTGACTTTGATTAATAAAACATGGTGTAGTGCGCAATTCAAGTCATGGGATTATTGTACAAATACAGAACACAAAGAGAAGATTTTATCATTGACGATTCTGACAAAAGGCATAAGTGACAGCACTGATGATATATTACAAATGATCAAAATGATCTTACCGTATATACTCGAATATAAGCCGAGTTTTTCAGCCCATTTTTTCTGCTGAAAAGTGCCCCCCTCGGCTTATACTCGAGTCAGCGTCTCGAGCTGGTCAGGTTTCTTCTTACTTACCTCGCCGAGCGTCGCGTCACTGCTTTTTGTGGTAAAATTAGGTACCTCGGCTTATATTCGGGACGGCTTATACTCGAGTATATACGGTATTACTTTTTAAAGAGATTAAAATCATACACTGGTCAATATTTTGGAAATAATGCTCAAAGTCACATTTCCTGCCAGCTGTATAGCAGCTTTAAAAAGGTGTTCCTCACTGCATTTGAGTCTGACTGCTAAAGGTAACTTCCTTGAGGATCAGTAGAAACATAATTTTCCCTTTCTTTATTAATGAGATGAGTTATCACAAAGATGAACGGACTGGTGTACGATTTACTTCATTGAGGCCCCATTCACACCTGCAATTGGGGCTGATTACATGGGTCTCATGAATTCCTACGTGACAGTCATGTGAGCTGCTGTACAATACAATGCCATTGGCAAGTTTTTGCACAGGCTGTGATTATCTGCAAATGACCATACCTGGATGTAGACTGTTTGCGCCCAGGTGCGTTTGTCATCAGTTAATCTCACCATGTGTAATAACATGCAAAAAGCTATGGGCAGTGTAAGCTGTCATTGTATTCTACAGTGCCTGAAGCCTGCATGAGTCTCATGTAGAAATTGGTAAGTCACATATGATCTGCACCATATGAGGTGTGAAGGGGCCTTGCTGTCGAGTTCTATGCTAAGATTCTTTGTAAAACTCTCATTCTGAAAAATGTGACCAGTCTACAGAAAAAAGATGTTTGAAATATAATTATATAATAATAATAATATAAGGAGGTATTTGCAAATATTCCTGTAGAGTATGTAGGTTTTTTCTGCAAATAAAACTGGTCAATCACTTTAAGAAAATACGGAAAGCTGGAAAATATGGGATGTTTTAATAGATTTAACAATTTGCTAATTACTTGCTAAAAAAGAATTAGGCATAAGCACCTGAGCATATATCTAGTTCTCAAAGTCAACTGTCAGTTTTGGGCCTCCTCTAGCATTCTGGAACTAGTCAGCCTGATTCCTGACCATGTGATCACCATGGCTGCTATTCCATGGCGATTACACATGGGTTTTTTTTTTAAAAAACCTGCCAGCTCTTGCGGTCACAGTGCCTCACACAGTGCCACAGAGCATCACTGGCAGTAGAAGCTGGAAGGCTGCACCTGTTAAAAGGCAATACAGAGTTAAAACATTAATTACTCTGGGTAAAGAAAAACCTTACCCATGCACTGGGGCTACCCCCACACTGAAATGGTTAAGTGTTGGTTTTGTCTAGGGGGTTTAGATAAAGCTGTATTACTCACCTGATCCTCGGTCCTGTGGTGGCACAGTTCTCACCTTCCCCTCTCCACTCCAGTTATGGAATGTCCCTCGATGTCCTCACTTCTAGTGCAGGTCACTGGACTGGGTAGGGGTGGGATTACGTCAGAGCAAAATGGCAAAAAGGATAAGTACACTTTATCTGAAGGGTGCCCCCATGTAAACAAAGGGGCAGAACAAGTCCTGTGATGTCATAACTCGCTGCATCCCTGTGTTGACATTCAGGAGCAGAACTGTCATTTTGAGGCGAGAGTTCATTGGGATCGGTCGTTTCAAGGTGGGGGTTTTTCGGCGAGTCCGTGTCCATCGTCCATCGTGATTGATGTGGATCTACATCACTGGATGATGAGATTGACCTGTGGAATACATAGCATGACATTTTCATTTTATTTGTTTTATAAAAGAATTGTCAAAAACCTGTGCTGTGGTTTTTTTTTCCAAATAAAGGACTTTTTTTAAGGTGTGTTTATTTGCAATGTTACTGTATTTGGTGTAACCACTACCCCTTACACTTTCACGGGGGGGGGGGCAACATCTGGGTGCCCCCCTCATTCCTGCCCGCAGACTCCCACAACCACCGGGCCATGGGTTGTGGGGAAAAGGCCCTTGTCCTCATCGACGGGGACAAACTGCTTTGTCAGGGTGTCCCCCTC